GGGGGGCGAGCCTCCCCCTCCTGCCCAGGCCGGCCGCGGTGGCGCGATCATAACCGCCTGCAGCAGTTGTGTTCTTGAACTCTGGCCTCAAGTGGTCCTCCTGCCGCGCCCGCCGCAAACCCCGGGATTGGAGGTGCGCGCTGCCACGCGCGGGGGGCATGGGCTTTCTTCCGCTCCCGCCTTTCCTGGGACATCCAGGAACTTCCTTCCTCGGGGCGTTGCTTTCCCGTTTCCCGAGCCTGGGAGCCGCGCCCTGCTCCGCGTGGCCGCCTGCCCTGCCAGCCCGAGACGTCCCGTCGGCGCGCTCCCGCCCTGCGTCGCTGGCCTCTTGCTCGCGAGGCCCGGGGACTCCTGCGCCTGCCGCCGCCTCGGCCGCGCTCTTCCCTCGTCCCTCGGGGACTGGCGCTCCTGCGAGCGGGCGAGCGGCTGCATGCTTTGATGTTGCGTTCCCTTGCGAGACTCAGCTTCGGGTTTCCAGTGTCTTTCGTTTCTGTCTCTGGCACCCCGTGTGTGCCCTGACACTCGGTGGCCCTCAGTCCACGCGTGTTGGTTGAGTGAATTGAAGGAGCCTAAAATACCCCGGATCAGTTTACAGGGACGTTAATAAACAGGTCTTTGCTTGAATGCCATAATGTCCCTTTTAGGTACGCCAAGTACAACATTGGCTTTTCAGGCCCATTTTTACTGATGAGGAGCCTGAGTGCCACGCGTGCCTTGCCTAAGGTCACCCGCGGAGTCCTGGGGGGCCTGGAATGGAATCTCCGGCTGTCTTCATGGCAGTCGCCTCTGGGTGATTTGGGGCTGAGTTTGACAGACTGCCTATGTCCTTGGGTAGCACCAGCTTCTGAATCAGTTTCCCCATCGGTGAAATGAGGCCAGTATCCCTTGCCTCGTGGTGTCTTTGTGGAGGCCTGATCCAACAGAAGGACCCCCAGGTAGGTTACATTTATTTTGAAGAGCATATTACATATTATGGTTCTCTGTTTGGGGAATAGAACCGTAGCTGAGTTTTTGAACTGCGTCTCTGATTCCCTAGGCTGTTTTCTTGAGTGCAGGGATCAGGTCTGATCCAGCTCTTGGTTCCCTGCACAGGGCCTGGCGGGCTGGGTGTCAACTGCCTGTCAGCTGACTGGTTACTCTCTTCCTGCTCCTTCTAGGTCTGGAATGAGGTTTCAGAGACCAAGGAACTGTGGAGGTGAGTGAAGGAGCAGCCCGAGGTCGCCCTGCCAAGGGGAGGTGGGTGCCCTGGGTATGTCTTGGGAGCGCTCGTTCTGAGTGTTGTTGGCTCTGGTGCACGCAGAAGGAGGGTTTGTCCCAGCCCCTGCCAGCAGGAAACTTCTCCACGGTCAGGGATGTGAGCCTTTTTTCTCTAGAGTGCTGAAGTAGAATTATTTTTTTCTCCCCCCTGCATCACTGGCTGTGCACAGATGGCTTTTAATGCCCCTTTCTCCCACGGCCCCTTTATTTGCCCCCCTCTGCACCCCGGTTTTCTTCCTCAAAGTGAAAGGATTTGGACTTCTCCCTCTAGGTGCTTGAAAGAAGAGGATACTGTGGGAGGGTGCTGGTGGTGGTGGCAGGGCTGGGAGAGAGAAGAGGGACAGGAGGGAGAAGGGGCCTGGAGAGCGGGGAGGGGACAGGCAGAGAGGAGCCTGGACAGCAAGCCGACTGCCCTGCCCGGCGCGTCCTGTGTGAGGAGACACGCAGAGATTGCTTTCTTGGGGCTCTGGGAGCCACCGCTGCTGACATGCTCGTATGCCGAGGTCTGAGCCGGGTTGTGGTGGGTGAGTAGGGGCAGGAGAAGGCAGGGAAAGCATGATTTGGGACACGCAGTGAGCGCCCCCTCCTCAGGAAGGCCCCGGAGGCAGAAGCAAGCCCCAGCTAGATCCCGCCTGTGTGTTGGCAGAAACTTGAGACTACATTGATCGAACGGAAGATTGACGTAAGGCAGGGCTACCAGATTCAGGGGCAGAGATGTACAGCAAATGAATGCAGCTGGTTCATGGCAGCAAAGCAACAGAAATATGATCAACTCCTTGGTATAATGGCAATGTAAGTGTGACGTTAGTGCCTGTGAAGAAAATGGAAAGAAAGTTGAAAATAAAAAATATTCTAATCACTGTATTATTTTTGTTATTCGTTCTTCCTTTGAAACCTGACATCGTTTCCTTTGTACTAAGATAGAACTGTCAGAAGCTGGCAAAAAAGAAAAAAGGTAAACTGTCAGATCACCAAACTCCTGTCAAATACAGTACAGCCATGACGATCAGCAGGGAGCTGTGTTTACTGTTAGTCACTCTTGATGGACTGTTCACCTATGCTCTTCAAAAAATGGAATCTTTGCTTTTGTTTTTAGGATAACTATGGCTTGAGATGTTTGAGAATTTTGGAAAGCCAATGTTGCCCTATTTGGTTTTCCGTACCATATAGTACTATTTTGTTTGTTACTTCTTGTTAATTTTTTATTACTGATATTAATTAGAAAATTGTTCAGTATTAATCTTTTTAATCAGTTTTGAAGTAAGAGCTTTGAGTTTTCATTAGAACTCAGTCTTTACAATTTGGGGTGTGTGGTCTAGGTATAACTTTCACTTCTGGAAATTGGTATTTCTGAAGGGAAGTAGACAAGATTATGTCTTGCCCAATGTGTTTTTCTTTTTTTTGGAGTTGGAGTCTCACTCTGTCGCCCAGACTGGAGTGCAGTGGCCGCTCCCGGCCACCGCAGCCTCGACCTGCTGGGCTCCAGCGATCCTTCCGCCTCAGCCTTCCGAGTAGCCGGAATTACAGGTATGCGCTACCATGCCCGACTGATTTTTTGATTTTTTGTAGAGATGAGGTCTCGCTGCCCATGCGGGTCTCGAACCCGCGCGGGCTCAGGCAATCCACTCACCTCAGCCTCCCAAAGGCGCGGGATTATAGGCTGAGCCACCAAGCCTGGCTGCCCAATGTGTTGTTCAAAGAAATTGTTTCATGAGGAAAAACGAATTGACTCATGGATTGGTGTGTCCATTTGTGGAAGCCCTTGCAGAGAAATATTCTGATGCTTAAATGGGTGGGATGCCAGTCCTAGTCCAAGTCTTTGTCATCCTTGCTGACAAGCCAGGGCAGGAATTTTCCATTTGAGTAAAGTGTATATTTCTTTCTTTCTTTTTTTTAAATCAGAGTCTCACTGTTGCCCAGACTGGAGTGCAGTGGCATACTCACTGCCACTGCAGCCACGACATGCTGGACTCAGGTGATCCTTCTGCCTCAACTTTCCAAGGAGCTGGAACTACAGGTGTGCACCACCATGCCCAGCTAATTTTTTGATTTATTGTAGAGTTTCGCCATGCTGCCCAGGCTGGTCTCGGACCCCTGGGCTCAGGCAATCCTCTTGCCTCTGTCTCCCAAAGTGCTAGGATTACAGGCATGAGCTACCTCACCCAGCTTAAAAAGTCTATTTCTTTGAATGTTTAAAAAACAGTTCCCTTCAGCACATCACCTTACCCCCACGCGGTGTCATATGTTACCTGCTCCAGGTTCCTTGTGGGAATCGTTCACTTGTCTGCAGGCCGAGTCACAGATGGGTTTCAGTTCATTACTATTTGAATTTTTTTTTAAGCATAAACCATCCCTTGTGATTGTTTCCCTGACCCATGTTCTTGTAAAAACACGAGGTTTGTGTCGAGCATTCCGAGAGCATCATCACCTGTGGCCACATACGTGTCATTTCCTGGAGCTCTGCCTGTTGTGGGTGCTATGTCAGAAGGCTTTCCAAGCCACACCCACGGAAGTTCTCATGAACACAGTGAGCAAATGAGGTTAACAGGTCATGTGTTTTAACGGGTGCTGTGTAATTTCAGTTGAACGTGCTGCAAGCTGCTATTTTAAATGCTTCATGACCTTTTAAATCCTGCCACTTCTTCAGTGCACTATGCTTTAGCTTTTTGGTGAGAAGTAAAATTGAAAATGATTGTTTTTGTCTAAAGTACATAATTTCTGCTGTGTACAACAGACTGTTCCATTATTCATTGAGATCCGTGAAAGTTTTAAGGGCCAAGGTTTTTTTCTCACTTGATATATTACTGTTTTTTAGAGGTGTAGCACATACTTTATTTATATTCACACTTTAACCTTGTTGACATTTACCTTTTTTGTTCTTTTTAGGTCAGGCCATTTGTTTTTCTCATATCTTTTAATGTAAAAATAGATTTCACCACCACAAAGAAATGTGCCATCTCTCCTTTTTCTGGAACCACATTATCTTCTTGGTTTAGCTTTCCTTTTGAAACTGCTTAGACTGGATTGCTCTTATCCCCACATATGAGAGCGATGTCATCAGGCAGCTGGCTTTCACCCTCAGAAGTCCAGGGAACACGGGAAGTGACAAGGGCATGTGATTCACTCTTGTATGAAGGATGAAGCTCTGTGTGGCCCCACACGCATTTTGCCAGATAAGAATTGGGTTCAGTGTTGCTGAGTCTCCTGCTTTTATCCGAGTTTTATGTATAACCTGAGGTGTTGGCAGCTGGTTCCTGTGGGCCAATTCTGTGCAGGCTGAGCAAAATAATCTGGAAGCCGTTCAGCCCACAGGCTATCAGTTTGCTACTTCTGAGACTTCAGCAAGCAGAGTCCACTCTCATTCCACACAGGCACTGGAATTCTTCTCTGTGTGTCAGAAGCTCTCCAGGGCTCAGTCCAGAGGCAGGCCCGCAGGCGCTCAGTGAATGTGCCAGTTTGGCAGAGACGCTTTGTGTTGTGCCTGTTCATACCGTGGGGCTGTGAACCAGTGTTTTTCCACCCACCTCCTTCTCTGCCTTGGAGTGCTGACTGGAACCAGAGGGCGCCGTATCAACTCTGAGGTCACAATAAACGTGATTTCACAATGAACGTTGAGTGCCTCTGTTCATAAAGCCCCCAACCCTCTGAAGCCAGATAGCCACTCTTCTTGCACTCAACACTAAGAGCATAAGCTGCTCCTTTCTTCCATAAGTTAGCATCTTGCTCTGTTTTAGTTTTGCTCTTCTTCCTCTGCCTCTAGCTAAAAGTATCTCTAGGGCAAGAGCTATGTCTGATTCCCTCTGGGCCCCAGATTAGGTAAATATTCAGTAATTGTTTGCAGTGATAATGAGCTCATATTTTATCCTCAACAGCCCTTTGAGAGAGGTGCCATCTAGAATTGACAGTCACATAGATGTTAAGAGCAATGACCTCTGACAGTATACTCTGTAAAGGCAGTGAGAAAACTGGCAAAACTGGCCAAAATCAAATTTTTCAGAACTCTGGAAATAACCAAATGCTTTCAGCAATCTGGGGAGGGTTTATTCAAGAAAAATGACTGGATACCAGTAACCCTGTGTTTTAAATATCAGCAGCTTACAATCACATTTAAAATTGGAGCCTGGCAGTCACTGGAGAGTGAAGAATGGGGCTGGAGGTCTTTGATAGCCTTGTACCTAGAGAATTGTCAATACTTGATCTGGTGTTTCTTGAAAGTCCCCATTTGCAAGGCTGTTTTTATTTGACCTGACAGAGTTTGCACACACATTTTTCCCCCCTTTGGGGCATTTGTCAAGACAATTACATCTGACAACTTTGTGGCTGCCTGGTTTAATGGACAGTAAGCTAACCAAAATCTTGAAAAGCTGGGGAACTAGATATCCTTAAGGGCTTTGAAAAATGGACACATTTCTGAAAATCTAGAGAGCCACATACATGTCCAGAGCTGTGGGCAAGCTCAGGAAAGACCTAGGAAGGTCCTAAACTGTTACATCCTCCTGCTCTTGAGGCTCTGCGCTGGCAGGGGGTACAGCTAAGGAAGAGTCATCAGCTGCCCTGCTGAGAGCTAAGGTGGGCTCCGACCTACACACGGAGCCCCTGGCAAAGACTGGGAGACTTACTGGTTCCAAGCATTTAAGGGAATCTCTGGACGGTCATTAGTAAGCCTTCATCTCCTCGAGCAGAGACTTAAGTGATCACAGATAACCAAGAATACAGACTTCAGAATTAGTTCTGAAACGTTAACAAATATTAATGACAACCCCCAACAAAAAGAAACCAGGGGTGATCTGAGTTCCAGAGTCGCCAGGTTATATTATTTAAAATGTCTAGTTTTTAACAAAAGTTATGAAAAATGCAAAGAAGCACAAAGGTGCGATTAACACACAGGAAACAGCAGCCAGCAGAAACTATCCCTGAGGAAGCCCGGGCATTGGACATATGAGACAGATTTTCAGCCAACTATTTGAAATTTGTTGAAAGAACTAAAGGAAACCACGTGTAAAGAACTAAAGGAAAATATGCAGACAATGTCTTACCCAATAGAGAATATCAAAAAAGAAGTAGAGATCATAAATGACTATAGATAGCTGAGAATGGTGGCTCACACCTGTAATCACAACACTTTGGGAGGATTGCTTGAGCCCAGGAGACTGCTTGAGATCTACCTGGGCAACAAGGTGAGACCCCATCTCTACAAAAACATAAAAATTTAGCTAGGTGTGGCATGCGCCTGTAGTCCCAGCTACTTGGGAGGTTGAGGCCGGAGGATTGCTTGAGCCCAGGAGACTGCTTGAGATCTACCTGGGCAACAAGGTGAGACCCCATCTCTACAAAAACATAAAAATTTAGCTAGGTGTGGCGTGCGCCTGTAGTCCCAGCTGCTTGGGAGGTTGAGGCCACAGGATTGCTTGAGCACAGGAGTTTGAGGCTGCACTGAGCAAGGCCATGCCACTGCACTTCAGCCTGCGAAACCCTGTGTGTGTGTATAAATGCTGAAGCTGAAAGTGTAAAGTAAATGAAGAAAAGTCAGTAGAAGGGCTCAACAGTAGACTTGAGCAGGCAGAAGAAAGAATCTGAACCTGAGTCTGCACTCCAGAATGAATATAAAAAGTGGAATATGAACAATTCCCAGGAGACCTGTGGGCTCCATCAAGCATACCGACATCCCATAGTAGTTCTAAGCTGAGAGGAGAAAAGGAGAAGAAAGAAAATGCAGGCAGTCCTCCATCTGTGGGGATCGACTTCCTGTTTTTTAACTTGGCGAACATGCAAAAGTCACACACGTTCTGTAGAAACTACTTCAGTATGGTGTTCGACCAACTGCATGAGATATGTGACACTTTCTTATAAAATAAGCTTTGTGTTAGGGGAGTCTGCCCAACTCTCGGCTCATATAGGTTTCTGGGCACATGTGAAGTAGGCTTGACTAAGCTGTGGTGTTTGGTAGGTTAGGTGTATTAACAGCATTCTTGACTTACCCGATATTAACTTATACTGGGTTTACCAGAATGCAACTACGTTGTAAGTTGAGGAGCAGACTTAATATCATGAAGTAAAAGATGCTTTTAACTTGAAGGAGTGCTGGCTGGAAACTTTCCAGATTTGTGGAGCACACTGATTTCCACATCCAGAAGCTGAGTGGACGGCAAGTAAGACAAATTAAGATAAAAGATCTCTACACTAAGAGACACTATCATCAAATTGTCAGACATGCAAGATCAGAGATTCTTGAGAGCTGCAAAAGAGAAGCAACTCATATAAAAGAACCCTTCTCATTAAAAGCCATGGAGTCCAGAAAGTAGTGGGATGACAGAGTCAAAGTGCTGAGAGAAAAGACTGTCACCAGGAATTCTGTATCCGGCAAAACTATCTTCAAAAATGAAGGTGAGGCTGGGCTCGGTGGCTCAGCCTATAATCCCAGAACTTTGAGAGGCCAAGGTGAGTGGATTGCCTGAGACTGTGGGTTTGAGAACAGCCTAGGCAACTTGATGAGACTTCGTCTCTACAATTAAAAAAAAACAACAAAACACCATAAAATTAGCCAGGCATGGTAGTGCATGCCTGTAGTTCCAGCTACCTGGAAGGCTGAGGTGGAAGGATCACCGGAGCCCGGCAGGTCAGTGCTGGGGTGGACATGAGTGTGCCACTGCACTCTAGTCTAGGCGTCAGAGTGAGACTCGTACTCAAAAAAAAGAAATTAAGACATTCCTGGATGACCAAAAGCTCAGATAGTTTGTTGCTAGTAGACTTGTCCTACTGTCAGAAATAATATAGAGAATCTCTAAGAAACACTAAAAGGAACTGAAAGGAAATCAGTAACTTGAATCCACATGAAGAAAAAAGCATCAGTAAAAGTAACTATAAAGAGGCATATGTAAAATACAGTGTAAATATATTTATGTTTGTAACTCTTTTTTTCTCCTATCTTATTCAGAAGACAACTGCATAAAAGCAATAGGTATACTTCTTTGACACACAGTGTATAAAGATTAAGAATATATTTTCTTTGTTCTTTTCGAATTGGAGTCTCACTGTCACCCAGGCTGGAGTGCAGTGATGCAATCATAGCTCACTGCAGCCTTGACCTCCTGGCCTCAGGCCATCCTTCCATTTCAGCCTCCCAAGTAGCTGGGGCTACCATCACACTTGGCTAATTTTTAAAAAATTCTGTGTAGAGTCATCTTACTATGTTACCCAGCCTGATCTCAAACTTCCAGGCTTAAGCAGTCCTCCCACTTCACTCTCCTAAAGTGCTGAGATTACAGGTATGAGCCACTACACCAGGCCAAGATGTAATTCATATGACAGTAATAGCACAGAGGCAGTGGGAGAAAATAAAGCTATATAGGAGCAAAGGTTTTGTGTATTGTTGATTAAGTTGGTGTCAATCAAAACTAGAAGTCATAAGTTAAGATTTAAGTTGTAATCTCCAATTACAACTACTAAAAAGAAACAAAACTCAAGAGAGATGGTAGAAGAAATGGTAAGAATTAAAACAGTACACTAGAAAATACTTAACACAAGAGAAGGCAGTAATGGAGAAATAGAAAAAAAGGGAATAAGACCTAGAAATACATAGCAAAATGACATATGTATAGCCTATCTCATCAGTAATTACATCAAATGTACATGGATTACACACCCCAATAAAAAGGCAGAGATGGACAGAATGGATAAAAAGTCTCCAACTTTATGTTCTCTATAGGGACACGCTTTAGGTTCAAAGACACAGGAAGGTCGAAATAAAAGAACGGGAACAGATACACCATACAAACAGTCACCAAAAGACTGGAACAGCCTATACTGATGTCAGACAAAATCGGCTTTAAGACAAAAGTGCTATTAAGTATAAAGAAGGACGTTTCATAATGATAAGTGGGTCAGTCCATCAAGAAAATGGAGCAGTGACAAACATGATCCTCACAACAAGCAGCAGAATACATAAGGGACTGGCGGGACTAAAGGGAGGAATGGGCAACTCGGCAGTCAGAGTTGGAAGCTTCAAAAAACGTAGGCTCTTGTGTCTCAGTGGCACAACTTCAGCCAGGCGGTTCAGCCTCTCTCTGCCTCTGTCTCCTCGTGTGTAGAATGGGCATAAGTTCTCGCTTTATAGGGTTGTTACGAAGACTGGATGCATAAGAAGCACTTTGCGCCTGACATAGTGCGATCGCTCATTTGACTCATTATCCCCACTTGGCAGGAGGGGAAACTGAGGCCCAAGAGGGCAGAATGAATTGTCTCCAGTTTCACAGCCCATAAATGGCAAAGCTAGAATGTAGAACTAGGCCTCTTGGCTCCAAAATCCATGGCTGCCCGTCCTGCTCAGAATTGTGGGTTTGTTTTCCAGGCAACTGTGTCTGAGACGCTGGTCGTCTTGCAGAGGGCCCCAGATGGTCCTGGGCACACAGACGTGGAAACAGTACTACCTCTGCCGGTCCAGGCTGGAGTTCCGAATGGAGTCTGGACGTCCAGGGAAGGACTTCCTCTGTAAAGCTATTGCTGGGCACACAGGTATGAGTGGGGGACATAGCAGCTGTGCCCATTCCCACCGCTCACTCTCTGGCTGGGTCTCATGGGACTTGGCCTTTGAGCCAGTGACGTGGCAAGCACCACTTGGGGAATCCGCATCTTTCTGGGTCCTGTGCCATTCGCTCCTTGCATAGCCTGTAAGGAAAGGATCATTTCGCCATTTCGGAGTAGAAACAGAAACTAAGCAAGTGGGGAGTAGTTCCAGCTCGTGCGGCTGGTGGGTGTCAGGCAGCCCCGGAAGCTGAACCCAGGTGTGGCTCTTTTCCTGTGCACATTGTCCCCGGCGTTAGTGCTCATTGTGTTCCCGGGACAGAGAAAGACGGCTTTCCCGCCTGCCCGTTCATCAGGTTGAGCTCTGGAACCCCAGGCCACATGTGTCTGTGTTCTCTCACAGGAGAGATACGTGACCTGGCGTACATCTCGCCCAACGAGTGCCGACTTGATGGGAAGGAGAAGTCTGTGGTTTGCACCGTGTCCTCAGACTGCACTGTGCGTGCCTGGGATGTGCATGAGGTGAGGTGGCCCCAGGAAGGGAAGGCAAGGACGAAATTGATTGAATCCCTACGGTGTTTTGGGCTCAGCTAGACCCTTGGTCTTTGTGGTGTCACTCAATCATCACGGAAGACTTCAGGGGTGAGCGCCATTTTGCAGATGAGAAATCTGAGCTGGCAAGAGCTTCCATCACTGTATCAGGTCCCATCGGTCAGGCCGGGGTGAACCTATGTTTGAAACTGAAGTCTGACCGATGTCACATGACATATTCTTGGCTTTCTGCTGTGCTGCCTCAGGGAGACAGACTGTGCCCACAGTGCCTAGTGGGGGCTGTGTTGGCATGTGCTATTCCTTGCACTTCCATTGCAAGCATCCTTACTTTGATCTGCAACCACTCTGTCATGTGATCTTCCACACTGGGACTGATGCTGACCCGCTGGGTGGTTTTGCCCAGATAATTACAGTTTAAGTCATTCTCATGTGAAAACTAAGTTTTAAAACCTGGATAATTGACTAGCATTTCAAACTTTGTTGGTGCTTATAGCTAAAAATTTTTCATATCCATTCCCTGTTACAACAGGTAAGAGGGCACTCGTTATTATCACCCTAATTTCATAGAAGTATTAACTGGGGCTGAGAGGGGCATGTCCTTCGGTTCTGAACCATGTGTTCTCCCTGCAAATCCAAGGGTTCTGCTTGTGGCCAGAGGTGGGGTCCAACCTCCTACAATGGAATTTTCTTGAGAAACTATGTAGGCTCCTTCACATTTCTGAATGCCCTAGACAAGCAGAGGCACCTTCTGTGCCTGACTTCATTACGTAAGTGATCTCTTGGTGGGTGCACTCATCTTTCACTGTTCATCCGGTTTGCTGCAAGTGGTTGCTGCCTTTAACGATGGACAGGTTCTTTTCAAGTTCACTTAGTACACAAGAGAGTGACAGCAGGCAGAGAGGAGGCACCACTAGCCTGGGTGCCAGGACACCTGACTGAACTTGGGTCCCAGTTCTACCCTAGCTCCCCACGGGACTGTCTCTCCTGATAGAGACCTGCCTGCAGGGTGTGGACATGTGGCCACAGTTAGACTTAGATTTAGGGGCACATGGGTGAGAAGAAGATTTGAAAGCTTCCCACGGTCATCAAGACAAAAAGGTTTTGGCTTAAATAGAGAGAGTGCTTTTATGTGGGAGTCGGCAAGTTTTATCTGTAAAGGGCTTAGTGTTTTAGGCCTTGTAGGATGGACAGTCTCTGTCACAACTACTCAGCTCTGCTATAAAATAGTAGTGGGTGACTTCAGCCCCTGCTCTCAGCATCAGACCGATCATCTGCAAGGAAATCCCAAGAAACCATTGGATTTAAACTGGATTTTAAACCAGATGGATTTATCGGACATTGACAGAATACACTATCCAACAACTGCACAGTATTTTCATCAATACATGGAACATTCTCCAGGATAGACCATATGATCGGCCATAAAACACGTTTCAGCAAATTTTAAAGTTTTAAAACAAAGTTCTAATGAACTTTGAAGTAATGAAGGAAGAGAGGAAAGAAAGGGAGTTTTTACCTCACCAAGAGCTGGCATGGGTGAGAGAAACTGCTTTTTTTTTTTAAATTTTTTTCCACCTTCCCTGCCACAACCCCTAGCCTGCTGGACACAAGACTGTAGGACACACCTACTGAGCGGAGACCCGTCACCACATCCCTCCCGCTGGTGACGCCAGCCCTTCCCTCCCAACCCTGGCAGCTTGGGGGGGAGACACAAGGACAGGTGCAGACAGCAAATTTTAAACATTCAAAATCATCTACGTATCTTAGACCACAGTGGAATAAAACTAGAGATCAATACCAAGAGAAACTTTGGAAATTACACAAATACATGGGAATTAAATAATACACTCTTGAATGACCATTGGGTCACTGAAGAAATTAAGATGGAAATCAAGAGATTTCCCAAAACAAATGAAAATGGAAATACAACCTACCAAAACCTCTCGGATACAGCAAAATTAGTGCTAAGATGGAAGTCTATAGCAATAAACGTCTACATCCAAAAAGTAGAAAGCTGATGAATTAACAGTCTCACAGTGCACCTCAAGGAGCTAGAAAAGCACACACACAAATCAAACCCAAAATTAGCAGAAGGAAAGAAGCAACACAGATCAGAAGTGATGAAACAGAGTCAGAAAAATACAGGCTGGGTGTGGTGGCTCAAGCGTGTAATCCCAGGACTTTGGGAGGCTGAAACAAGAGGACTGCTTGAGCACAGGGTATCAAGACCTTGTCTCTACAATAAATCAAAAACTTAGCCAGGTGTGGTGGCTCACACCTGTAGTTCCAGCTACTTGGAAGGCTAAGGTGGAAGGATTGCCTGAGCCCAGCTGGTTGAGGCTGTAGTGGCCATGAGTATACTACTGCATTCTAGCCTGGGCAACAGAGTGAGACTCCAATAAAAAAAAAAAGAATCAATGGAATGAAAAGTTGGTTCTTTGAGAAAATAAAATGAATAAAGCTCTAGCTAGACTAACCAAGAAATGAGGAGACTCAAATATCAGAAATGAAAGAGGAGACATAAGCCGGGCTCGGTGGCTCAGCCCGTAATCCCACGCCTTTGGGAGGCTGAGGTGAGTGAATTGCCTGAGCCCGCGGGTTCGAGACCCGCCTGGGCAGGCGAGACCTCATCTCTACAATAAAATCAAAAAGTCAGCCGGGCGTGGTAGCGAGCGCCTGTAATTCTGGCTACTCGGAAGGCTGAGGCGGAAGGATCGCCGGAGCCCAGCAGGTCGAGGCTGCGGTGGCCGGGAGCGGCCACTGCACTCCAGTCTGGGCGAAAGAGTGAGACTCCAACTCAAAAAAAAAAAAAAAAAAAAAAAGAAAGAGGAGACATTACAACTGATACACAGAAATACAAAAGATCATCAGAGATTGTTGTGAACTATACCCTGACAAACTGAGACACCTAGAGGCAATGGATAAAATCCTGGAAACATACTACAACCTTCCAGTACTCAATTGGGAAGAAATAGAAAACCTGAACAGACTTCTAATGAGTGGCAAGGTTGAGTCAGCAATAAAAAGTGTCTCAGCGAAGAACTTGTGGCTGATGGATTCCCAGCTGAATTCTGTTAAATGTATAAAGAATAACTAAAAACAGTCCTCCTAAAACCATTTCAAAAAATTGAAGAGGGAATGTTTTCTACTGATTCCAGAAGGCCAGAGTCACTCTAATACCCAAACCAGACAAGGACACAGTAACGACAACAAAAGAACATTATAGGCCAATATCCCTAATAAATGTAGATGCAAAATTCTCAGCAAAATACTAGCAAATCAACTTCAACAGTACACCAAAAAGATAGTACACCACAGTCAGGTGGAATTTATACCAGGGATACAAAGATGGTTCAACATACACAAATCAATGAATGTGATATATTGCCTCAACAAGAGAAAGGATAAAAATCATACGATCATTTCAATAGACATAGAAAAAGCATTTGATAAAATTCAGCATCCCTTCAATGATAAAAAGTCTTAGCAAACTAGACATAGGAGGAACAAATGAACAAACATATCTCAAAATAATAAGGCAATATGTGGTAAACCCATAGCTAAAATCATACTGAATGAAAAAAAGAACCTTTTCTCTAAGAACTGGAACAAGACAAGAATGCCCACTTCTATCACTCCTATTTAATAGTACTAGAAGTGCCAGCCAGAGTAGTCAGGCAAGAGGAAGAAATAAAAGGCATCTACATTGGACAAGAGGAAGCTAAATTGTCACTCTGCTGATATGATCTTATATGTAGAAAAACTCTAAAGATGCCATCAAAAAACTCTTAGATTTGGTAAATGAATTCAGTAAAGTTTCAGGATATCAAATCAGTGTACAAAAATTAGTAGCATTTCTATATATCAATAGTGATCTAGCCAAGAATAAACTCAGGAAGGCAATCCCATTTACAATAGCTACAAAAAATAAGATATCTAGGAATGAATTTAACAAAGGAGGTGAAAGATCTCTATAAGGAAAACTACAAAACACTGATAGAAGAAATTGAAGAAAAAAATGGAAAAATAGCCCAGGCTCAGAGATTAGAAGAATTAATGTTAAGATGGTCATATTCCCAAAGCAACCTTTAGATTCAACACAGTCCTTACTAAAATACCATAATTTTTCACAGAATTAGAAAAAAACAATCCTAAAATTCATATGAAAACAATAGAGTGCCTAAATAGCCAAAGCAATTGTGAGCAAAAGGAACAAAGTATATTCACAACATATCACAAGGGCAGAGTCACCAAACCTGCATGGTATTGGTATAAAAGTGAACCCACAGACTGATGGAACAGATGAGGCAACCCAGAAATAAAGCCACGTGTCCACAGGCACATGATCTTTGACAAAGACACGTTGAGAAAGGGGTGTCCTCTTCAATAAATGGCACTGGGGAAATTGAACAACCACGTTTATAAGAATGAAACTGGATCTCTCTCCCCATATACAAAAGCCAACTCAAAATGAATTAAATGAAGACTTAAAATGCTGAGAAGAAAACCTAGCTGGGCTCGGTGGCTCAGCCTGTAATCCCGCGCTTTGGGAGGCCGAGGTGAGTGGATTGCCTGAACCCGCGGGTTCGAGACCCGCCCGGGCAACTTGGTGAGACCTCATCTCTACAATAAATCAAAAAACCAGCTGGGCGTGGTAGCGCATGCCTGTAATTCCGGATACTCGGAAGGCTGAGGCAGAAGGATCGCCGGAGCCCAGCAGGTCGAGGCTGCGGTGGCCGGAGGCTGCGGTGGCCAGGGGCGGCCACTGAACTACAGTCTGGGCGACAGAGTGAGACTCCAACTCAAAAAAAAAAAAAAAAAGAAAACCTAGAGAAAACTCCCATACATTAGTCCAGGCAAAGCATTTATGCCCAAGACCTCAAAAGCAGAGGCAACAAAAGCAAAAATAGATAAACTGGATTATATTAAACTGAAAAGCTTCTGCACAGCAAAGTTAATAACAGAGTGAA